ATTAGATATAGTCTTCAATAGCAGCTGGAAACTTGAAGCTGTTAAGAAAACACCAATTCACTGCTTAAAACTGAACTGGAAGATATTTCAAGCCCTAATTTGTACTGGAGTTACTAGTTAGAAAAGTCACTTTTTGTAGAACTGGCTGCCTTAGGCAAAACAGAAGTAACTGTGTAAGACAGGAATGGCTGTATCAAAACCAGGGGAGACTTCTGTTAAATCTTAACTTATTTCTTAGTTGCTTTTGAGAAGAACCTTATTTACAGGAACAGCTCGTTAGCAGGGTCATTTTTCAAAAATTTGTTGTAATGAAATTGGTATTGGAGAATTCTTTGTTTTGAACACTTAAAAATTAGTCTCCTACTTGTTTTGCTATTTGGTGGTGGCTATGTTTGAGTAGGCTTGATATTTGTGTCCCCCTCTTCCCAGTCTGAATCTTCTACATTTCTTTCACAGATAATAGGCTTTGGATCAGCGCTGCTTGAGGAGGTAGATCCCAATCCTGCCAACTTTGTTGGTGCTGGTATCATACATACAAAAACTACTCAGATTGGATGCTTGCTGCGCCTTGAACCCAACCTCCAGGCACAGGTATCTGTGTAACTATCTACAGCTTCAATACAGGTTCTCATTTGAACTAAATATCTGTGTGTATCTGAAAGTCCTTAAGGTATTTAAAAATCACTATTGCAATAGCAGATTGTGACTGCAGGCTCCAACAGGAAATTAAATTGTAGCAGCTGGTCCTGCATGACATTATACCATTTTGGTAAGCTTCTTCTTCATAGCAATTCCCCTTCCTGTTAGAAGAGATCATTGTAATATTCCAGACTGTCCATGAAGTCTCATCTTCTCTTGAAGGTTTGAAACATTTAATGTTTTTTGTCTTGTGCACCTCAGACAAGGTTAAGTATGCTTTCTTTTGCCATTTTAAATTACTAAAAGAGTGGCTAAAAGAAAAGCATGAACACAATGTTAAGAATATTTTTACTCAAGCTTTTTTGATAGAGGTTTTATCAAAGTTAATTAAGGACTAAAAAGAAGTTTTGGGTGGTAAGTCTTCTGTTCCTTGAAGAAGTGGTTGTAGAGGGTCTTTAAACTTTTCCACAACATTTACTCCTCTTAAAGAAAAATTTTGGACACCACCTTTCTGTTGAAGGCTAAAAATACTATAATAAAAGTAATTCTCTACAAGCATTTGAATATAAGTTTGGTTCAGCCAGTGGTTTGAAAAAGCTGTATTACTCAGTGGCTGGCTGCCTCTGAATGTTTTAATTTGAGGTCTTTTTCCTACCTTACAAAAGCAAGTAGGAGGTAGCTTAGCTTTCATTAGTTGACTGGGCATTCATTTAATGCCAAACTGTGTTTAAAAAGTAAGTAAAATTTTATATTCTTTTTCAGATGTACAGGCTCACACTACGAACAAGTAAAGAAGCTGTATCTCAGAGATTATGTGAATTGCTGTCTGAACAGTTTTAATATTAACCATGTCAGTTTTGGTTTTTCCACTTATATCACTGTCATCATACTGCAAATAAATGTCTTGTACATCACTGTCTGAGTACTGCAATGTTAACCAATACCAGCTCCCTGCCTTAATAGGACTTGACCCTTGTTTAAAATTAAGAATATAAAATGTACAGTACAGGGAAGTGACTTTTTCCATTAAAAATGGCTTTTAGTCTGTTACACAAAGGGTGGGAGGGCTGTTTTTGCTCTTTTTTTTGCAGAGGTCAGGCTTTTAACCTTGTTGAAGGGAAGTTGTTTTAGATGTGGTAATCAAGGGTTTCAGCTGGAAATAGCTAGTAAACATTCTACTTCAGTACCTTTAACAGGTACTTCCTCTGCTCTGAGTTGAAAGAAACCAATGTACTGCTGCTCAGTAAGGTTAATTCAGATGTTAATGTAGAGTCAAAACTTTGTAAAGTTGAACGTTCCCACAAGTTGTCTACTGGATGGGAGGGCAGATTCCAGGATGTGTTTGAATCTGATTCAAGTGAACATTTGTGTTGAGTGTCACCAATCTTTGTATTTGAAAAATGTCACAGGACCAGAGTCTTAAAATATTAACTGTGTAATATTTTACATCTTAATGTTTTCTGATCTTTGGAAAGTGGATTGAAAGCAAAAGCTATTCTTAATCCTTCCGCTTATCTCTAATAATGAGATGAGCTTCTCTGGTAGGTGGTGAATGAGTATATACTTGTTCCTTGTTACTCAGTGAAGTATTTTGTTCTCTGTTTTTTCTGTTTTCCATCAGACTTCATAAGTAATAGTCCTAATGATGTGATACAATTAACTGCAGGGTCTAGTATTGTATAAAAGACGTGAGATGAAATGGGCCCTCGAAGGGCTCTAAGGCATGCACTCTTAGATGAAAATGTAATTTTAAACAATATTTTCCCCAGTGTACATTAATGGTAAAACTTAAGAGGTTGAATAACTGATACCTGAACAGTTTCCTTTCTGTCAGTGGTAAAAATGTCCAACATGGTGTAGAAAACTTCTGTTGAAACTTAAAGTGGAATACTCAAAAATGTTCAGGTTTTTACAACCAGAGTTTTTTTAACTTGTTTCACGTCAGCAAACTCTTCGCAGCCTCTCTGCAGAAGTAAGTGGACAGAAATTTTGGCTCACGCTCCTCAAGCCTCGAGTTGCAGCAAAGGCTGCAAAACCAAAGCAAGTGAGGTAGCCCAGTTAGAAACCGTGGGCAGTTGTAAGTGAGAAGTACAGATCGTGATGAACAAAATCATCTACTGCTGACATGAGAAGTGAACCTCAGATCAAGGTTTCCTCAAGGTTATTTAAAGGCAGCCTGGGACTGGTGTCTCACGCACATACAGACAAGCCCACGGAGTAAAGGTTTTGAGTAAGAGTGATGACACTGAGAATACATTTAAATGAGGCTGCTGTCATACTGCCCAGTGTGCAGCAGGGGACAGGATTCTCCATGATTGAGTGTGCCTTGCTTTTTGTCTTCAGTGCTTTGAGTTTAAATGATGGAACTGGGAGATTATAACTTGATTTGGTTGAAGGCTAGTGATTGTACTTGAGTACAAGTGAAAAATGAGGAACAAAGGTTTTGCTGTGATGTGTGGATTTTGGGGGATATGTTTTGTTTTCCCAGAAATGGCTTGTAACTATGGATATTAAGACTGAAAATTTGGCTAAAGGCTTGGTCATTCTGCAAAAGTTCTCTTGAACAATTGGCCCCTTTAAGGCCTTTTAAATACTTCTTAATTAAGACTCTTTGATCATAAATATTGTCATTGAAAGTCTTCATGAGCAGTTCCTGCAGTCATGTTGGGCAGTTGCAAAATACTAATGGGATACCTTATGTTTTTTCCTCTGGATGCTGTATGTCTCATTATTAGTCCTGTTATGTTAACCATGCTGTTGGCTGCTACATTATAAATCTGATGTGCTGATCTAAAGGGAGTCTTAGCAAAGACAGGGGAGGAGCTTCAGTTTCAACTATTCCAAATCCTGTTGTATATCTGTCCCCCTGAAAAATGTTCTGTGCCCTCATTAAAGGACACCTTGAGAACTGCACTACTTTATTTCACTCTGCTTTGGTTCAATCTGTGCTAAAATGTGCATTAAAATATGGGAAGGAGGGAGGGGTAAGGGAAAAGTGTCTTTTCAGTGGTGACTGTGTTAAGCTTATGACTGTTCACTCTTTATATTAAATGTCAGCTCAATGAAGCCATGAGCAGAAAAGTGAACAAATTAAATACAAATACTTGATTTTTTTTTTTTGTTTGTGAATGATGGTTAACTTACCAGTGATGTATCCTGTCAAGCAGACAAAGTAATTTCTGCAGTAAACAGTGTTATTGTTTTTAAGTGCAGTATTTTCAGGCATTGACATGTGAAAATAACTGAATAGCAAAACAGGTAGCATATGTTCATTCTTGACCTACACTCCAGTATGTAACATTTATGGTGATTGTCTTATTTGTATAAAACAAAGTTCTGTCAAATTAAGTGGAGAATTTTCATATAGAAGACTATATATTAGACTATATTCATCAGAAGAACGTATTAAGATTAAATAAATGATTAGAACAGTAATCAAACTGTCCTTTTTTTGTCTGGGAGCATAAAAGTGTAAGAAATACTTGCATGGAATGGTTGTTGTGAAACAATTGACGTGATTTCTTTCTGAAAACTAGTCGGTTTTGTTCACTTGAATCTTATCTGGTCTAACGATCTCTATTCCCTCCAGTGAGTGAGTTTGGTTTTGTTGCTGTGTTTAGTCACATGTTATAAATACTCTACTGTAAAAAAAAAAAACAAACCAACCAAAACCTTGATGTAAAATCTTTCTTCCTAGAGTGCTTAACAACAGTAAGTACATGAACAGTGCAGACTGCAGTATACTGGAGTAGCAGTGGGATAAGGTTGAGGCTAAACAGCACACACCTGTGTTACATATGAGCAGGAGGTGTAAAAAGTTGATGTCACTGTAAAGAGTATCTAAACTGCTAAATAACATCACTTAAGCTCTAAATGTATGCTTCAGATTCTTCTCTAAAACTTGCTAAAAGGGAAAAAAATATGAGCTTTTGTGCATTCGTACGGCTTTTTCTTAAATGATTTGCAAACAAAGTAATAAAGAATTCTCTTGACTGGCAGCAAGTAGAAATTGCTTCTGAGTGAACCTGTGTCCTGTTAGATGCATATGGGCTTTGATTTCTTGCAGAGAAATGCCGTCAAATTTCTGCATTATCCAAAAGCCACTACATGTCTGTGTTAGTAGGGTTTCTAGGGTGCATGCAGAAACCTCACAATTAGCTTTTGGTTCATGTAGCACCTTGCTTTCCAACAGCAGTCATCTATGGATGACACAAGTGCTGTGTCTACCTTCAAAGGAAAGGGAATGGGTCAGTTCTCCCAGTGAAGTAGTGGGCTATTCCAGAGGTCCTAGTTCAGCTGTAGTGAACCTAACAGACTATTTTCAGTTAAAATAATTGGCCAAATAATGAAAAGTTAGGAAATTCAATTCCTTCTACTTTATTTGAAAGTCAAATTTCTGTTACTGCACAGTGCATGGGCCAGTTTTTAGCCTCCGGTTAAATATTATCACCCTGAACAAGGCCAGACAGTCTCTGACATGGTCTTCCCTCCCCAACTTCACACTGCCCATTCTTTCCTCTCTGCACCCCACCCTCCTGATCAGGAATAATTTATCTGTCAAGTTCATTGACAGTCCAGGCAGCTGCTCAGAAGCCTGATTGCAAGTCTATCCTGGATGATCAGTACAAGAGAACCCAACAATGAGCAGTCACTATGGAAGTATTACATTGTGATCAGTGTTTAATTAAAAAAAAATTGGTATCTGAGGCCTGGCTAGTGTATGCAACTGTCAAAGTTACAAACACAACCACTAAATACAGTTATGTCTGTAGTGAGCCTTTTTCCAGGGTCATCTGGGTCTTGGCATGGTAGTTGGAATTCCTTCTTAAGAAGCTGAAGTGGCCGACAGCAGCCGCATGCTGTGGTGACCATCATGTTCTCAACATTCAGCCTGTTTGGAAGAGAGGAAGAATGAGTTGTCATTTGTATACAGCATTTTAGGCTTCAGGTATTTTCAAGTATTTGCATTTTTTTTTTTCCTGTGGTGGGAGGTTCAGAGGAAAGAGCACAACGCTCAGCTTAATGGTTCTGTCAACTAGAGAACTACAAACAGTGCAGCAAGCGACTGAAGTTCTCATGATGGGTGCTACAAGAGCTCAGGTGTACTGAGCTGCTGCCTTCCTTTTTAAAAGAGGGTGTTCTTGTCATCTATTAGGCCTCAGACCTCACTGGAAAACTAGTAAGATTTGACTTCCCTGTTCTTTGGCCTTCTGAACATTGTAAAGTAACTGTGGATTTAATCTTTTTAAAGCTGTGCACTTGGACTACTTAGAGTTTGCAAAAGGTCTCTGGTATGGTCTGTTAACACAAATGCTAAATTGTGCGTGTTCCCTTTGCGTGGTTCATGGAGGAAGGAAAACCCCTTTCTTCCTCTGAGCAGTTAGCACCAGAATCTAAGCTGGTGACTGCATAGTAATATCAGTTGTGGGTTGTGAGGTCAGTTAAGAAAGCCACGGTAGACTTGCACGTATCTTGCTGACTTCACAGTAATAAAGCACACGTAGGTGAAGTGACTGCTTGAACAGGCAGGCAAGGCTTCGAGTCTTTCACGATACTGCTGTTTTCTTACGCTGTTGATTTCTGACAGTGTTCAGCCTACTGCTGGACTTGGTTCTATCTTTCTCTTTGTCAGTGGGAAGCAGTATAAAGGTAGGCTAGAATTCAGGTATGGGAACAAGAGAGTTAAGGAAAAAATATATTTTTTTAAAATCTCCTTTGAAGGGGAGAAAAGTTTGCTTGGTTTCAGTTAAAGTTGGGGTTTAACTACAACTCTCTAAATTATTGTGACAAACCTTAACTCTAAAAATCTTCCTCGAGGGTTCACAGCCCTTCTGAATATTCTCAGGATACAAAGTCAGTCACTCAGTTTTTAAAATGCTGGGGGACACCTGAACTTGCTTTGAAGGGGATAGCTTTTAGCTTCAGGATTAATTTAAATTAGTTATTGCAAATGCAAAACTCTTCATTGCTTTCCTATTCTTGAACATAGTATTGGCTTGGGTTGTTGGGAATTTAACAATTTTAATTTTTTCCCCCAAATAACTGTGAACTCTAATACTGCTACACTAAGTTTAGTTGTATTGAAGCCTTGGTTTTCTGTTGAATAGTCTCCTACAGGGCAAGCAGAACTGCACAGGCTCAGACAGCACACTTGTAATTATAAAATATACCTGAATTACATTAGTAGGAGAATGTTATGAAACAACTGAAGTGACATTATGTACCTTAGATGAAATTTCTTATTTTACTTTGAAAACAGGTATTTGTAGTCTAAACAACCTTTTCCATCTTTAAAAAGCAAACAAATAAACAAAACCAAATCCCAACAATCAAAACAACAAAATAGCCCCCCAAACCCGCAGCATTGAGGTCTGTTTATTTTTTTTAAAAAACAACACAAACTTAAGGAAGTGACATGACATTCCTTCTTTAGAATGTAAATCCCTGTGCAATAAATGACCTTATTAACGTTGGGTTTAGTTACCTGCTTTATATGGCAACATGATATATTACTGGGTGGATTCTAACCACATGTTCCTCCCTGACTTTTAAGGAGCAGTAGTTCATAAAATACCACTCCTTACAGATGACTAAGTAAGAAAAACAACTTCAGTACTCTACAGCCTCTGAGCTATCCTTACTTTGTTGAAGATGGACATGATCCTTCACATCGGCTTAAAGTGACATTTGCAGAACAGCCTTTGTAAGTTATTTTTTCTTCATATTCAACTTCTCTACAATGATCTGTCAAATGTAAAAAAAGAAAGAATTATAGCAGAAATTTATCTTGGTCTTCTTGAGTGACCTTTGTTAGATGCCAAAAGCCTCCATACTTGGTTTCATGGAACACCATTCTTACTGCATGAGATAATTAACAAGTCACAAGCAAGTAACACAGCAAGAGGAGGTTTTAAACTGGGTGCTGAAGATGCATGAGACTCTTACCATGGAGGACAACTAAGAACACAGAGATTGCTGGAATTACAAATGAGAAAAAAAATTCCTGTTAAGAATGTAAATTCAGTCCAGCAGGAAAAAAACTAATCCTCTGCTTAGAACGTTAAGATGCATGTAAAACAACCAGCTGTCTCATTCTCGTGGAATTATTTCTGGTTTTCAGACTTTGTAGTAGATTTTACTTACTGGAAAAATGCTTAGCTTACTCATTTTAAGGGTGTAAGTTTTTGTAGGTGGACAGAAGTTCACAACTTTCCTTACAAGACAGAATGCCTAATGCTACATAGCAGGTACTGATGTACCAATCTCATATTTTCTCCTGACTTGAAGCATGACACTTAAGCACTGTATGAAGCTAAAAGCTGACTGAAAACATAGGTTTTCCAAGGAGTTTGAACACAGTGTTTGAAGTTTATTTTAAGGAGAAAAAAGATGTTGAATACTACAAAGGCAATTCATGCACCGCTCACACTTGCTCCTGCACAAGGATCTCTTGAGCACATTCAGGTTCTGTGGTTAAAGAAAGGTTATAGATGAAACCTGAACACTGTTGCAGGGAAGACTCAGTTAATACTGTAGTATATGTTTGGGACTTTCTTATTGGAAAATAAAACAACTAATAACTGGACAGTAGACTAAGACTGCAAGGAGCAAAGTTAGTAATGCTAGGTTGGGAATGTAATGTTTGGAAGCACTTCTCTTAGGAAAAGAATGTGAACAAAATCCAAAGCAGGCCACTAAACCGTAACTATACTGTAGAAAATCCTTCTGCTTATGAGAGTTCCTACTTGGATTCTCATTCTGTGAGGTGAAAATCATGAGGATGAAGGGCAAGCAGGGTCAAATTCTGCCTCCTTGGGTGAAACTGTCATTTCCCAATGGTCGAGCAGTCAGTGAATTTGAGGCTCTTTTCTGCTAGAACTGCAATGAGCCTCTTTGGTACTGCAGCACTTGTGTGACAGCAGGATGAAGGACAGACTTGCATTTAATCACTTCTCTGCAAGTAGGTAATTCTGCCATGCCTTGTGGCTGAACTGACTGACCTGGCCAAGCTGCACTCTGACAATGTTAATGGTGAAAATGGAGACGAAAGGTTCAGCTACAGGTAACTGTACCCACTATTGTATATTGATTCTTACATCACTCTTTGAGAGTAGTAGTTAACCACAAATACAGTTTTCTTACATGACTATTTGGAACCCTTTGTATAAATCAGTCTTCTGGATTAAGACTGATGTCTTGGTTGAATGGAGCGTGGTGTTCTGCTTTGTTCATTTTTCCTTCCTGTTAGAGTTCCTGGTTCAGTGGATCTGATTGTAATGACAAAATGAAGGACTTTGTGTGAGGATTCACAACAACTAAGGAAGTAGCATATTCGTCTGTGGAAAAGTTTTGAACACATGCTTCAAAGACAAAAAGATACAAATACTTATAATCTCATTATTAAGCAGGGTAGAAAAGGGGCAGGCCTACTAGGATGCTGCATATCTCTCCTGATTCTTGAAAAAAATAAGGCAAGTGAAGAATGTGCTTTCTTTAGGAATTAAACACACAGAAAATGAGAACAAGCATTGAAGTCAGTATATGACAGCAGACAAGGCAATAGGGAACAAGGCAGGATAATGTGGCTAAACTACACGTTCCAGATAGTTTCTCCTTTGTATGTTGAAAGCTCCCAAAACAGAATGCAAAGTGGCTCAAACTGAGATGTTAACTCTTCTCTTGGTCCTCAAACGGTAGTTAAAACAAACACACAAAAATGAACCATACAGTAAACCTACCTTCCATTCATAGATTGAACAGTGCATGTGTCACTCTGGTTTATTCTTAGAAGGTGTTAACCCCTATCCTAGAAAGCATTGAATAAAAACTGCCTCATTGTTTCTAAATAAGAGTAGAAACTAGGCCTCTGCTACTTATACAGGATACAGTTAAAATCTTAGACACCTCTTGTGCATCCACACCATGTTCCTGACTCCTGTACTGTGGATCCTAAAGTAGGACAGTTCCATTTCAAAGTAGTAGATAGATATTGCTTTGTGTGCATCGCTTTACATGAAATGGTGTGGAAATTATAGAAAATAGTATTCCTTCAGTCAGAAAATATTAGGTGATTAATTATGCACAGGAACCAAAAAACATCTCTGTACCTTAGAAACTGTGAAAACAGTATCCAGCAGAAGAGAACAAAAATGCTGAACTGTGCAAAGTATATGAGAGCTAACAAGAGGGCTGCAAGGTAAGTCAAAAGATACCTTTTATTTGAACAGGCTGTCTTTCTTACAGTGCTTTTGAAGATTATAAAATAGAGGTTCTGTGACTCTCCTGATCTGCATCCTGTTAGGCTCTTTAACGCATAGTTTTTAATGTCTACAGTATTGTATAGCAGGGAACCAGCTTAAGAAATCTAAGACATCAGACAACTACTCTACAAAAAGTAACTGCATAAGGGGCAAAAACAAAAGATGGAGCCAATGGGTACAAATGGTATCACAGATAAAGAATATGTAAAGAAAAAATTCATCCACTCGTGAAAAAAAAAGGTATTAAAAGCATGATATAGGAAGTGCTATGGATATACATTACCATGTGGAACTGTCAATGGCACAATAGAAGACAAGGACGTTGAAAGTCTAGAGGTGAAAGAAGGAGATGATGTCGTGCGGGCAGTGGTTAATGTTGTTGTTTGCAAGGTGCTCCTTTCAGCCGACTTTGTAGAAGCAGTAGTGATCACAAGGGGAGCAAATGTCGTTGTAGATAAAACAGTTGGGACCAACACTGGAGTGGATTTGGCAGAGATACTGGTAGGAACGGCTAAAGATGATGTTTTGCCATATGGAGGCAATGTGGTGTTTTGGAAAGAAGAATACGGAGTGCTCTCGGCAGACCTAAATGTGGAAGTAGTGAGGGATGTAGGTGTAGGCATTGTGCTGACGGTTGCGGACAAAGAAGGGAATGTAGACGAGGCAGTAGATGGCAGCCACGTGCTGAGTGGGCTGCTGGGGGCAGGCGGAGAACTGGGATTTGGAGATGTTGTGGTCAGAGGGAGTTCTGTGCTGCTTGGTGGGCTGGTCTCTGTGGAGACAGAGGTCTTGGAGGTGCTGCTGATGAAGGTGACAGCCGTGGTCTTCTGTGTGGTCAGAGGTGGCTCAATGTGTGGCACGGTTGACTTTTTATGGGTGAAGGCTGTTGGGAGGAAAGCACAGGTCAGTTGAGAATGAGGGAAAGAGGGGGAGGGAAAGGAGGTGGGCAGAAGCCTTGGGCTAAGGCAATAAGCAAGAAAAGCAGCCCTATGTTGCACTGTGTATTCCTGCGAAAAGAGGGAGGTTTGGACTTCTGTCTCCATCCATAAGACTCCACATCACACTTCAACTCAGTCATGGCCCCTTGGCGTGCCAGGCAATGGTTGGGTGACCCTAGCTGAATGTAGTGCCCAACCAGCCTCTCGCTTGCTCCCCCTCATCGGGCATTGTGGAGAAAATTGCAAATACCAAAGCAAGAATATCCAAGTGCGTCTGGATCAAGACAGTTTTTAGAAGTGAAGAAACTAAAGGGAAAACAAACCAAGACCCACTCACGAGGTGCAAAGGCAGTCACTCACCAACTCACTCTGCTGGCCAATGCCCAGCCAGTCTCCAAGCAATGGCTACTTTTGAAAAAGTGCCCTGCCCCCCCATTGCACTGCTCAGCATGACTTTCTGTGGGATGGAGTGTCTCCTTGGCCACTGGCTTTGGGCTATGCTGGTTGTGTCCCTGAGGGATCTCATGGCCACCCCTTGCCCACTCCCCGAGTGGCAGAAGGAGAAACAGAGAAGGCCTGGATGCTGTGCTAGCACTCCTCAGCAATCTCTAAAGCACTTTTGTGCCATCAACACTGGCTTGGACCTGCATCTATAACACAGCATCAGGAACCCTGCCAGGAACAGAAATTGGCTCCACCCCAAGCAGAGTCATTGCACAGGCCCAGGACTACACCAGGAACCAGGATGGCCAAAGGCAGTGGGAATGGAGGGCCCAACACCTAAACAAATGCATAAGTAAGATGTGGTTCTTAGATGGAAGGATACAAAAAGGGAGGGAGGGAGGGATGGAGGGATGGAGTGAGTTGGGAAAAGCAGGCAGGAGAGGTCCAGAGAAGGGATACAAAGATGATCATGGGACTGGAGCATCTTTCATATTTGGAGAGACTTGGGGAGCTGGACCTGTTGAGTTCAGAGAAGGGAAGGGTGAGAGGGGATCTCATCATTGTATACAAATATCTCAAAGGCAGGTTCCAAGGGGATGGTGGCAGACTTTTTTGGTGGTGCCCAGTGACTGGACAAGGAGCAATGGCCATGGAATAAAACACAAGTTTATCTCAACCTGAGGAACAACTTCTTTATATTGATGGTGGCAGAGCAGTGGAACAGGCTCCCCAGGGAGATTGTGGAGTCCACCTCTCTGAAGACAGTCAAAACCCATCTGGATGAATTCCAGTGTAACCTGCACTAAGAGACCCCTTCTTAGCAAGGGGTTGGACTAGATGATGACCAGAGGTCCCTTCCAATGCTGAGAATTCTGGGATTCTGTGAGCAGTGGGACACAGAGGAGTGGGTCTTACCAGGCTGTGAGGACACAGTTGAGAAGGGAGAAGGAGCAGAAGATGGCACTGTGCTGGTTTTGACTGTGGTGGGTGCAGAGGCCTCTGTTGTAGGAGACTCTTGTGGAGCACTTGTCATTGGAGATGAGGGCTTGGGCCTCAGCGTTGTAGGTGTAGGCCTGGGGCTGGTGCTTGGAGCTGCTGTGGAATAGACTGTGGAAGTGGGAGCAGATGGCAGCCGGGTGCTGAGTGGGCTGCTGGGGGCAGGTGGAGAGCTGGGATTTGGAGATGATGTTGTCACAGGGAGTTCTGTGCTGCTTGGTGGGCTGGTCTCTGTGGAGACAGAGGTCTTGGAGGTGCTGCTGATGGAGGTGGCAGCTGTGGTCTTCTGTGTGGTCAGAGGTGGCTCAGTGTGTGGCTCAGTTGACTTTTTATGGGTGAAGGCTGTTAGGAGGAAAGCACAGGTCAGTAGAGGGTGAGGGCAGGAGGGGAAGGCAGAGCAGGTTGGCACAATACCTTATACTGTGAGCAAAAATGGCAGCACTGTGCTACAGTGATTATTCCTGGGAAAGAGGGCAGACTGGGAATGTTTCTCGCCAAAAAAGGATCTTGCCTGTTGGTACTTTCCAACAGGCAAGATCCCTCTGCCTCTTCCTGGAAAAGGACCCTTTTCCAGATGTGCATGTCTATTCCTTCATGAAATAGGCAGAGTCTATGGACTGCTGAATCCGAGACTCGAAGGCCAGGCTAAGTGGGAGAGACCAGGGCCTCATGGCAATACCAAAGTGAGGCCGCACTACAGTGCCAATGTGAAAAGAATGGGGAGTGGAGAGCAAAAACTACAACAACAGTGCAAGTGACCTGCACTGCTACAAATGAAGAAGGGAAAAGAGAGCAGGCAGAAGCAGCGAGACAGGTAGGAGGAGCCTTACCAGGCTGTGAGGAGCTCAGCCATGTTGAGGACACAGTTGAGGAGGGAGAAGGAGCAGAAGATGGCACTGTGCTGGTTTTGGTTGTGGTGGGTGCAGAGGACTCTGCTGTAGGAGACTCTTGTGGAGCACTTGTCAATGGGGAAGAGGGCTTGGGCCTCAGGGTTGTAGGTGTAGGCCTGGGGCTGGTGCTTGGAGCTGCTGTGGAATAGACTGTAGAAATGGGAGCAGATGGCAGCCGGGTGCTGAGTGGGCTGCTGGGAGCAGGTGGAGAGCTGGGATTTGGAGATGTTGTGGTCAGAGGGAGTTCTGTGCTGCTTGGTGGGCTGGTCTCTGTGGAGACAGAGGTCTTGGAGGTGCTGCTGATGGAGGTGGCAGCTGTGGTCTTCTGTGTGGTCAGAGGTGGCTCAGTGTGTGGCTCAGTTGACTTTTTATGGGTGAAGGCTGTTGGGAGGAAAGCACAGGTAGGTCAGTTGTATGTTGCTGATTTGATGAGAAGTTGGGTGACTTCTACAGTTCTAGAATTGGCAAGGGAGGAGGATGCAGTCAGGGTTATGTGTGGGTCAGTCCTATGACCTGCTGGTATCCCATATGATTAACAGTGTGAATTGGGTACAATACCAAAACTGAGGCCTGTGTGGGACATGCTGCCTAGGAGAGAATGGTGGGAGCTGGAAGAAGCAGACAGAGCAGCAGGAAGGGCAGGAGGGAGCCTTACCAGGATGTGATGTTCCCAGCCATGCTGAGGACACAGTTGAGGAGAAGGAAGAAGGAGATGAAGCTGAGGTGGCAGGCAAAGAGCTCGGGCTTGGAGATGTCCTTGTCAGTGGAACTTCTGGGCTGGTGCTGGGACTGGTCTCTCTTGGGACAGAGGTGCTGCTGGTGGACGTGGCAGGGGTGGTCTGTGTCTGAGAGACAAGATGCTCCACAGGCTGTGTCCACGTTCTTATGTGGGTGACAACTACAGAGAGAAAAGCACAAGTTGATTGGAGGTGGCAGGGCAAGAAGGGAAGGCAAAGGAGGTAGACAATTCCCAGGCAGAACACCCAGGGTATGGGGTAGTAGTAAGAAAGACAGAACTAGACCCCACTGAGTCTTACAGGGCAAGAGGGAAAAATAGGCCAGTGGATCTCCCCTCAAAAAATATGGGGCAAAACTGGGCCTGAAATGTGCCCTCTGACAATTCAGCACCCCCTGCCTTTTTCTGAAGCTCCTCAGAAGAGAGCCTCTCTGGATATGCATGTTTCCTCTCCCAGGCATTCCAGATTGGGCAAGGATATCACCTGGAAAAGCTGGGGAAAGTGAAGCAGAGCCTTAGGCTAAGGGCATCTGTCTACTCCCTATTACCTTCTGGTTCGTGCAGAGTGGTTGCTTGGATTCCCTCACTGCCTGTATGGAAAGTAAGTAAGAATGAATATTAGTAATGGCTGGAAAGGTTCCTAGAGGAAGCTGTAATTGCTGGCACAAGGAGCCCCAGATGTATGCACCCCAACAGTACTTTGTGGGAGACACATGGATTGGGAGAGAGTGTACACCTGCCCTCCCACTACAGCAGAATTCCCACCACACACTGTCCCAGCCTCTGGTGTCAGTTGCTAACCTAGCAGTTCATGTTGCCATACAGTCTCAGAGGAGACTGTCCTTGTTGGTATATTGAGTGCCAGACAAAAAAAAAATCCTTTTATTTAATATTTATTGTTGGGAGTATTTGTAACATTGGCTAGGGAGAATATATATTCTGTGGTCTGTGGGTTTTCAAGAACTTGCCTTGAGACATAGAGAGATTTTGTCTAAATTTGGAGGAAGTGTTGGAAGAGAAATGTTAGGTTTAAGATCATATCTAGCTGTCAAATGCTTGCTCCATTGGCAAGACAAATTTCCATTTTAATCACGCTTCTTCAGTTATCCTTGTCTTTTCTTATCTACTTGCAATGTTAAGACCACTAGTAAGAATGCTTGGGGTTTTTTTAATTAAGTAGTACATTGACATATGTCTTGTGAGTGATGGTGTCACCTGACAGATATCAAAAAGTGATATTTACCTGCTGTTGTTAGTTCAGGCTTGCTGAAAGTTATGCTCTGAGACAGGGTTTGAGTAGGCAATGAGGAGGTTGTCATTTCCTTTTTGATAGTGGTCTTGAAGGCTGGTGAGGTGAACCTTACTTGTTCTGTCTCTGTTGAAGCAGCAGTTGATGAGGCAGCAGGCGTAGACCTTGGTATAGGGGTCATGGTTCTCTTTGTTGTGGTAGTTATGGAAGGAGTAGTGATGGTTGTAGTCATGTTTGGTGTGGTAGAAATTGATGTTGTATGTTCTTTTGGAGTAAAGGTAAATAGTACAGTGTGAGTAATAGAATAATTAAAAATAGATAAATTATGAAGAAAATACCCATATTTTAGAGACCCTTTTTCACCTTGATCTTTTGACTATTTTCAGCATTGTTGTAGCACTCATGTTCTTAAAAGCTTGTCAAATATTTCTGTACTTATATTTGTTTTCTACTGTCTCGTGTCTGTCTTTGTTTTCAGTTTCTGTATTTTTCCTGTACTAGATTTTTTTTTAATATAATTTTTCTGTTGTCATTTTTTGACTACAGCCTGTATGGGCTTTGCCCAAATCACAATTTCATTGGCTACTATTATGTTCCAAATCAGCCACAGTTTCAGCTTTCTGTAATTCATATTAAAAAGTTAAGTAACATTATACTACAGGACTTCCTTGTCTCAGTGCCCAAATTATCTGTCATAATGTCGGCTTTTGAAGCTGTGTTTTGAATCCTTTGGAACCTCTTTTTAACTCTGCTTTCCCTGATAGCCAGGGTCCAAGATGGTTAATTAGCTGAAGTGCACGTTGGTGTGAGGCTAAATGTGACTCCACAAGCCATAGAGTCAGAAAGTAATTTATGTTGGCAGAGTTCTCCTCCTGAGAGCAGGATTCTGGAAACCTAGACAAAGCTGCTACACTAATACCTGTGTGATTCTGCTTTGGGATTGCTTACATTATTCAGAGTTAATAGACTGGTTGCTCCTTGAATACGACTGCATAACTGAACCAGCTGTGGAAAAGAAGCTGAAGCTGAGCTAATAAATCTAACTGGATCTGGGCTGGTTCACTGCTTATAGAACTTCTAATATGCTTCTCAGATGAGTCAAACAAGTGACTTTTGGTTATGTTTTTAACCTAGTGTCTATATCCTTTATCTTTCCATGCACTTTTGATCTACACTTCTGAACATTTCTGGTTTATAAACTCTTTTCTGGAAGCCTGTTTTGCCTGCCTCACAATTTGGAGTCTAATGCTTGGATGTTGTACGAGTTTGCAATTCTTTCCTAGGAAGTGGTATCTCAATTATGTACAGAATGAGCTTACTGTAATTTATTTTAGACAGTAACACTAAAAACCTACCAGTTGTTGACTTCATTGTGACAAGAGGTTGTATGGGTGAAGTTCTCGGAACTGTAATTTTTGCAGTTATTGTTGGATTTGTAATCTCAGTTGATATAGCAGTTGCAGAAGTACTAGGTACTGTTGGTAGGGTGCTTGTGGCAGAGCTTCCTGTTACTTTAGGCTGCACTGTTGTTACTAAGAGAAAAAAATCAAAATGAAAGGATAAGAAATGGTCCTCAATAATCTATTTATAATGTACCTATATGAATTGAATTTTTTGAAGTATAAACACTGTTTCTATAACTACTATTAACACATTTCAGGTGAAGCCTTTTAGATGAAGCCTTTGAGAGCAGTTATCCATTGCTTTCTTTGCTATTATGTGCAGTGAATACATTAAACAGGTATTCATGCTGAAGCTTTATACCTTTTTCTTCATTTGAAGTGAATTTGGCATAAATATTTGTGCATATCAGCAGAAATGGAATAGTATTTTATTATCCACACAACCCACAGTGTAATATTTTCCAAAACCATCTGTCTTCAGGGAAATTAATGGAATTTCTAACAAATTTAAGATTATTGTATATAGGTTCCTTTCCTATATCAGGCTATAGGGATTTGGTATAGTCAGTCATACACTTCCATGAAGACTTTCTTAAATTGTTGAAGTGTTCTATCATCAGTCACTCTGCAATGAGCAGGGACATCTTCAACTAGATCAGGTTGCTCAAAGCCCAGTCTAGCCTGCTCTTGAATGCTTCTAGGGATGTGACATCTACAGCCTCTCTGGGTAACCTCTTCCAATGTTTTACCACCCTCATAATAAACAATTTCTTCCTTATAACTACTCTGAATCTACTCTCTTCTAGTTCAAAACCATTACCCCTTGTCCCATCACAACAGGCCCTACTAAAAAGTCTGTGCCCATCTTTCTTATAAGCCCCGTTGAAGTATTGAAAAGCTGCAATGAGGTCTCCCTGGAGCCTTCTCTTCCCCAGGCCGAACAATGCCAGGCCTCTCAGCCTTTCCTCACAGGAGAGGTGTTACAGCCCTCTGATCATCTTTCTGACCCTCAACTGTCTGGAACTGAGAACTGCACAGCATTCCAGGTGGGCTCTCATCAGAGCAGAGGGGCAGAATCACCTCCCTTGGCCTGCTGGCCACGCTGCTTTTGATGCAGCCCAGCATATTTTGGTACCAGGTCATTTTTCATCATGGTATCTTATGCACGTGAAACTGGTGATGCTACTATAAAATGCAAAAAATGGTATTACTGACTTTGTAAACACTTATCAGGACATAATATCAGTATGTAAATATTGGTTTGGTCAACCGTGTATACTAACCTGGTGAAGGTGAAGATGTTTCGAGTGTGGTGTTAGTGCTTTCTTCTCCTGTTGTGTAAAGGTAGAACAGTTTAAGTTTGTGAATAAAAGCATATTAAAATATTCCAAATAAGGCAAATTTCAGATTGGATTCAAAGGATTGTGTTAATTAGTGAAGGATTCTTGAAAGTGTTTAATATTACATATTTCAGTGGTAACATTCACATGGAAGGACTTAAGTACAAAGAAATCAATACACCTCAAAATAATAATGAACACTAGTAAGTTTTTGCTGTCTTTCTTTTGACTTTTATGCTTAAGGGCACTTCACTTTTCAGGGATAATGGAATGTGGCTTTGTATGTAAATGAGATCAGCAGCCAAGATTCTGGTCACACAAGTTAGAATTCTGTAATACGAAAAAAATTGTCCTGAAGTTTTTCTTACATCTGCATGAAAATCCAAACTGTGCAGCTTGAGTCTATCTAAAACATTATTTAATAAGATAGGTTTTCACAGAAGTAAATGATATGGCAATAAATCTTAAGTTAATTTAAAAAGAAAATCTCTAAAATAGATTTGCTAAGTAGAGTCCATTAGCTAAGTCTCATCTTCTTCTAAATGTTTTTTTTTCAATGAAAAAAGTTAAATATCTCTGAGACTCACAACTTTGCTGGTACTGTCCCTCACACAGACCAGAACAGCAATACACTTTCTGGAAGAGCCACCTTCTGAAAAGTACTCACACGTA